CCAATTTTAGAGCAACCAAACGAGAATCGTAACGCAGCAGCGTTGTTCGAACTCATCCGGTGACCAGTTGGATGAGTTGTTCGACTGTTCTTGGAAATACTAACTACTAACTGGAAAACAGCAAGGGTTATTGGTGTTTGATGACGGACCACGCCCGCCGTGTCACATATCTATGCGGATATGTGCGAAGAACTCTTGCCAAATGGCAAACCCATTAATTAAATCCTCGAGTTTTACCACTGATCGTTCGCGAACGCTTGTCCAGTGACCGTACACCCATCTTTTTTGTACGGTTAGCCGCTGATGGTCGACCGTTCCCTAATCCGCAACCTGGAAACGAGTTCGGGAATATACAGCCAAAAGAAGCGGATCGACGAAACAGAGAGAATATAAAAAGGTCCACAGACACATAAATCAGAAAACCGTTGCACAGAACGCTGTCCATAGAAAATAACGATATAAACAAGCTTACAGGATAGGCAAATGGATATGTATCGAGAACCGGGGAAACACAACAGCATCTTACTTACCTTTCATGATTTGCTGTAACTCCATTTGTAAAGTGACTACTTCTCGGGTGGTCGGCTCGTCTGTGTTACGAGTCAGACGATGTATGGTGAGCAGGCCATCATGCACTGCGGCGATATCGTCGTCTTCAAGAAAGATAACTTTGTCCGTGTGTTCAATGAGAGAACTGTCAAATCAGAGTTTGATAGTTGAAAGTACACAGTGGATGGATGGTATGAAGAAGCTCGATAGACGATGGATAAATGAATGAATTTATACATATGACTGTTCCAAGTATGTAGATTGGTAGATTGCGGAAGACCACCATTTTAGGTCTGAATTCTGAAAAAACCAGTAGCTTCGGTGATGCTTGAAGCCAAGCAAAGACGCGGTCTAAGCCTTGTATACAACGCACACTCCATCACCTGAACTGTAAGGCCACATTGATATCATCAGCATCATCATCATAGTACAGCGTAATACAGTGAAGCGAACTTCACTCATCGCTGCCAAACTCATAATGCATACAAGATAAGTGAGAATGTGTAAAGAGGATAGGGATTGGGCCTATTTTCAGGAACGGGAAAAGCAAGCGAACCCCTATGGTCAACACAAAGAGGACACAACTCAACTGTGCATACATACAATTTCAAGCATTCTGGTCTGATAAGAAGTGACACCATGATCACCATTGCTGTCGCTTTGCTGCCATGACCTTCAGTGTCTCCAACTATGCGATTTCAGAGTCTTTTGCACCCCAACCCGTAAGATAAGAGACACCTACTCTACCTAATCGCTCTGTGCATTTCTTTATGCATCGTCTCCAAGTCATCTGCTGGCCTCCATGTGGCTTTCTCCTGCCTGCAACAACCACTGCAAACAAGACGTGCTGCGGTAGGCGACCGTTGGACATACGCAAAACGTGTCCTAACCAACGGAGCCTCCTAAGCTGGATTCGATGAGATAGCGAGTTCTTGTTTGATGTATTCCCAAACACCCAACGACTTATTTTCTAAGTTACCAACCCGCTCACTCCATTCTACTTGGACCGGACTACGGAAGCATCGACTGTCGAACACTGCTACACGACGAGTGTCTTCTACCCGCAAATTCAAGGACTCACAACCGTAAAGCAGAACTGATCGTACGGTGGTGGAGTGTACGCGACTTTTCAACTTTGGTGAAACGTCACATCGCCGCCAAAGGTGTTTTAGTCCTGTGTACGCTGCTCCAGCCTTGGAAATGCGGGCGGTTATCTCCCTCGATGCGCTACCTTCGTCGGTCACGCAGCTAAGTACGAGAAGCAGTCAACTTCAGCTAATTCCTGACCGTCTAGTTTCAAAACAGAACTGGGTGACGCCCAAACTTATAGCATCACCCTGCACTTTGAAAATGCAAAGCACATGCCGAACGCAGAACTTGATAATCTGTCAAGTGCTCTTTGTGCATCCTTCATACATTCGAACAAGCAAACAATGTCGTCAGCGTACTCCAAATCACACAGCTTTTCTCCAGCTGCCCATTCAATAACTACATTTTGGAGACCACTTAGTGTGTTCTCCAGTATTTCGTCTATGACGAAATTGAACAGGAATGGCGAAAGAAGGCACCATTGACGGATATTGCTCCTAGTTACGAACGACCTACTCAGCTCGCCGTAGACCCTTAAGATACCAGAGATATGTGAGTAGAGTGAACTCAGTATATTCACATACTTTTGCGGCATTCCTTTGTGAAGGAGTGAACCCACTAGGGATTCACGGTCAACTGAGTCGAAGGCTCCTTTTAGGTCAAGGAACACGACAACCGTTGGTCGATGGTGCGTATGGTGTAGCTTGAGGACTTGACGCAGGGTGAAGATTTGATCGATACAACCGTGACATAGTCGAAATCATGCTTGTTGTTCGCGGATATTTGTCTTCCCAAGAGCTGTCAGATGTCAAAATATGATGGAGGCTAGTAACTTGGTGACGACTGGGATCAAACTTATTCCACGGTGGTTTGCGCACTTGTTGCGAGATCCCTTCTTAAAAATTGGAACGATCAGTGAATCGTTCCAGGATGATGGAATGCGCTCCTGTGACCAGATGCTACGCATTACATCAGTAATGGAATCTACAAGGTCATCGCCCCCCCCCATATTGAAAAGAGTGGTAGGAAGCCCGTCCGGTCCTGCTGCTTTTCCTTTCTTCAGGGCTTGGATGCAAGAACGAACTTTTCCTGCAGTAAGAGTTTCAGATGACACTGCCCACGGAGCCTCAGGTACATCAGAGGGGATAGCCTGGTTAGCGCCTGGTCAGGTGAACTGT